CTAAGAGATCAGTGGGGTTCAGATGAGGAGTTATAAAATCAGGGCGTCTCAGAGCTGAGAGAGGGCTCTCAGGAGACCACCTAGTTTTCTTCTCCCCAAAGGAAACATTTCTGGTTTAGATAAGGTGGAAACAGGGAAACGGTATTTATTAAGCACCTAAGATCTGCCAGACACTATGCTAAACACTGGGAATACAAAGACAGGTAAAAAGACAAGTCTCTGCTCTCAAGGGGCTTACAATCTAATGGCGTGGCAGGGAGGAGGAGGGGGTCACAACATACAAACAATTCTGTGTAAACAAGCTACATACTGGATAAATCGGAAAGAATAGATAGAAAAAAGACACTAGAATTAACAAGGATCAGGAAAGCCTTCCTGTAGGTGGCATTTTAGCTGGGATGTGCAGGAAGTTGGAGAAAGCAGGTGGAGATGAGGAGGTAGACCATCCATGCATGGGAGACAGTGAAAATGCCCAGAGTGGGAGAATAGTACCTTGTTCTAGGAACAGCGAGGAGACCAAAGAGAATCTGGTGGGAATTTAGTGTGACTGAACAATTTTCCCCTCTTGCTTCTTACGATGTCATTGATTTTAAAATTAAACAAAACTGTGATCTCCAATGGACCCCATCCTGTCTTTGTTTTTCCCCCCATGGGGGTAAGTGTTATTATCATCCCTATTTTACAAATGAGAAAACTGAGGCAGACAGAGGTTAAGTGATTTACCCAGGACCACAGAGCTAGTGTTCTGGGCAAGATTTGAACTCCAGTTTTCCTGACTCCAGGCCCATTGCTCTAGCCACAACAAAAACGGGCTGTTTGCCCCTCAACAGAACATCAATATTCTTGCCAGCGGGGCCTGTTTCTGTCTTTGCCTAGTAGATTTGGTAAATATTTATCGACAAGCGAGGATCATAGGGCCCTACAGATCTAGTCCAATCCCCTCATCTGACACATACGGAAACCGAAGTTTAGAGGAGCTTGCACAAGGTTTTACCACCCAGGTTGTCTGCCTCCAAACCCAGAGCTCTTTCCACAGGGCTGCTGAACAAGCCCCAACGTTTCTGGATCTATTGTCTCATCTGTAAAAAGAATCAGGGGAAGGTAGACGCACCAGCTGACCTCCATCACTGCAGATATTCAACTGGAACCAAATCAGTCCCAACCCCGAACCACTGCCAGGTGGGAGGGTCTTCGTTCTATGACCACAGACAGGGGAGCTGATAACTTTGTAGATGTGCCACTGCTATTAAGCCTGATCAGGTTAGACGTTACAACCCATCTGTGCTACACAGAAAACAAATTCAATATCCATGCTAATGACTATGAGACAATCCTTAATAGTCTGCATCAGCCAAACTGGCTGTCTGTTCCCCTCACATAACATTCCTTCTCCTCTATGCTTTACTAAATGCATAATTCATTGAGTACAGGCCACCTTCCCATATCAGGAACTGCACTCCTTCCTCATAGCCACCTCTTAAAACCGAGATTCCTCCAAAAGCTGGCTCAGTTGCCACTGCCTAAGTGAAGCCTTCCCAGATCCCTCCAGCTGCTAGTAATACACTCCACTGCCTTATACATTAGGTACCACACTAAGCAGTGACGATGTGAAAGGGAAAACAAATCTGTTTTTGTTTTCTGTATCCCCAGATATCAGGGAGGTGGCCTGGTATCTAGCTAGCCCTTAATATATGATTTTTGCTTGAATGTGACATGGCAAAGGGCTGTGAGTTAGACTAGGATTGGGTATTCTAAACTCTAGTCCTAGGTCGGCAGCTGACTCACGATGAACCGGTTCCTCCTCTGCGTCTGTGTTCCCATCTGTTAATACAGAAAAGAGTAGACTAGAGAGACTGAGTATGCCTAAGGTCCCTTCCAGCATCAGCCATTTACCTCTCCAGAGCGCAGCCACTGTTTTCCTCCAAGCAAAGCTGAAGCTGGGCAGACTGAAGGAATTCATCAACTATGTCCCCTGCATGCTGGGGGTCCTCTTAGCAAACTGACACCCCCAGTCCTGGGAGAGCCTGGCTGTCACTAACCCTCACCTCTGCTCCCTGAAGAGGAACAAGGCATCAGTGTCAGAGACAGAGCTGTTTCTGGTTGTTCTGCTGTGAATCGACGAACAACGGGCCCTCAGCCTGTGGGAAGAATGTTTTGAAAACAGCAGGACTGTTTGAGAGTAGAGCTGCTCCCCTCCTGGGAGCCCCACAGGAAACCCTGCTCCCTGATGTTCATGCAGGCCTTTCCAGGCTCTGGTTGCTTGGAGCGAGCTAACAGAGAAGCCTGAAGTCTTTATCTCATTGAAGTAGCTCCATTTAATCGCTGAGATGATTTCTGTTCAGCGAGTGATTCCAGGTGAGGTTCACACAGCTAGTAAGAGTAGGTGGTAGGACTCAAAGTCTGGTGGTCTTCCTCACTCTACACCAGGTCACCCCACTTGTCAGGAATATGAGCCAGAGAGGGCCCAGGCAGATCCAAACTAGCCCCCCAAGCTTGGAGGGAGGAGGAGAGGAGAAACATCCCCTTTTCTATCACCGCTCCACACTTACCGTCAGACATGCCTAACTTAGGAACCATCAGTGCTCTGAAGAGAATGGGTGTGCATTTTTCAAAATGCCCTTACTAATACTTTAGGGTATTATGGCAAATGTTAAACATTAAGAGCTCAGAATTGTTAATTACCTGCACCTCAGAGACCCTAGAAGGGCAGCACAGCTTCTGGTGCCCCTGCTTACGTGGCATCTCATCCTGCTCTGCCCTACATCACCAAGCACATTCACAAGATGTCAGAGATGACAGAAAACATTTAAGCCAAGCTCATTTTTAAGATGGGAACTAAAGGCCCTGAGAAGGGATTTCCTTTAGGTCACATAGCCAATTAAAGGCAGAACCTGGCCTATGGTACAGTTCTAATTTCACTCTAACATAATATACATCTCTCAGACCTCATCTAAATCCCATTCCTATTCCAAGCTCCAGATTTAACGTTTTCAGGCACCACCAATTCCCCCACTGATACCTCTAAGACACCAACAGCGAAATAACTTTTTTTCACAGGGTTGCCTCATCCTAATAGGGGGTTGGTTGGTTGTGGAAAGAAGCAACTGGGTTCAGGCTTCTTCAAACATCAATGGAGACTAAAAAGAATGGCTTTTAAGATGAGAAATTAAACCCCTCCTCTTAAGTCAGGGAGCTTTAAACATACTAGCTGGATGATCTTCTTGAAATCAATTTTTGTATGGGCCAGACCTAAAGCTTTCCTAGACAGTTTTTTTTTTTTGCTTTTTGGTGAGGCAATCAGGGTTAAGCGACTTGCCCAAGGTCACACAGCTAGTGTCGTGTCTGAGGTTGAATTTGAACTCAGGTCCTCCTGACTCCAAGGCCGGAGCTCTATCCAGTGCGCCACCTAGCTGCCCCCTATCCCTGAAGCTTTTCAAATGACATTGCAGAACTCCTAGGAACATGAAAGCAGAAAATGCCAGGGGCACAGATGATTGAATCCAGGAATCTCTGAGTGGGAAGAGTCACAAAGGATCTGGTGCCAACTCACAGAGAGCATAGATTCCCCCTTACAAATATCTAAGTGGGCTGTTTGAACACTTCCACTGATAGTCACTGACTTGAGCTGGCTCCCTACAATTCCTGTTACTGCTGCTTCTGTTCACTACATCTAACTCTTTCTTTCCTGCGGTCATCCATCAGACGCTTGAAAAGATAAGTAACACATCCCCTGCCATGCTGTTTACCAGGCTAAACATTCTTCCTTAAAGTGGATTCAGCTTACCCCACCCCGTCCTGCTCCAGGATCCTCTAAGCACTCTGACGAGCACACATGGCGGGAGGTCCGTGAACTGTCTGGTGCCGAGGCTCTGAGACGACCAGATGGGAGCGCCAGCCCTCAACCATGCTTCGAGGTTTCCAAATATTCCATTTCCGGCCTCCATTTATCTCCTGCGTGCCGGGATGCACTCCTGCCCTCTCTTCTGCCCCTCAGAATCAAGCTACTTTTTTTTCTTATTGCTGTGGAAACATTCTACCTTCCCAGCAGGATGCACATTCCCGGAAAACAGGGACTGTTTCATTGTCTTTGTAGCCTCTGTGCCTCACAGATAGGCTTAAATCACAGGAGGCTCTTCAGAAATGTCCAGCAAGTATTTATTTTCTCTTCTGTTTTCTTTCCTCTTTCTGGTGGTTCCTCCTATGGGTTCTAATTCTTACCTACATCACTAATGTGAAAATGTTTAATAGGAATATATATATGTATAACTTATATTAGATTGCACACTATCTTAGAGAGGGAGGAGAAAAATTTAAAACTCAAAAGCTTATGGAGGTTGATTGTTGATAATTCAAAATAAATTTAAAAAAAAAAGATACATAAAAAAAAAGTCCAGCCAGGCTGTAGGAGGTGGAAGTTGCCTTCTGCTGCCCCTCGTAGCCTTTCCTCTGGGGACACTCACAGCAGGAGACAGGTCAGAGGAAGGTCTCAATCCTTGTACCACCCAAAGCTGAAGATCAGCTGGGCACAGCAGGAAGTGGAAGTCCACCGGCTCTGGAGGAAGGCATTTTGAGGTAAATGAGAGTGGTCTGGCCAGAAAATCTCAAGTCAGGAAACGTCCTGTTTCAAAAAGAATTTTTCACTTTCCCTACAACTCTTAGTCTTAAGAGAGTTGCTTAGACTACTGAGAGGTTAAGAGACTTACTCGTCCAGGCTCCAGCAGCTAGCGTGGGTCAACAGCAGAACTAGAGCCTAGGTTTTCTTAGCCTCAAGGAAGGTGCTCTATCCGTTTCCCCATGGTGCTTCTAATAATGATAGTTTAACAACTGAAGTATTGCTAGCTACGACCATGGCAATCCATTTAATTAGCATCTTGCATCTATTTTATTCTACGCATTGTTTACAAATAAAGAGAAATATTCATTATTAAAAAAATGTCCAGCAAATTAAATCAGTTAGACTATGGAAACTTACACAATTATGATTACACAGAAAACCAAGCTGGAAAATGGAAAAAGATGTCTTTATTGATGAAATGTTAACAGGCAGGGGTGCCTCAAAATACGAGGGGAATACTGGCAATCAGCACAGACTACACATGTATTATGCACTCACAGGTTCCTAGGGCAGATGGGGATAAGGAGCCAACATTTCAAGTGGAACAGGTTTCACTGTTGCCTGTCATGTGCACATGGACATAACGAACTGTCATATGCAGGTCTAGTCTATGACAGCACAGTCTCGCCACCTACTGTGTGGCTGGCTCCACTGTGCCGATGACATTATGACGATACTAAATAAGTCTGCACAATAAGTGATTACCACAATCACCCTTGCTCTTAGATTTCAGGTTTTGCTTTTCACATGATTTAGCTGGAAGGTGGCATTTTGGAAGAGAAGGCCATGAATGGCAAGCTTGGAACATTGAGATTAACACAACACTCAGATCTCTGTGAAGCAGGTGGTGTGGGTTTCCCTGCAGGGATATCAAATGTTACACTGTGAACCAAAGGAGCAAGGGACCCTTGAGGGCGTAGGCAAACTGCCAGTGAGAACATTCAGGGAACAGGAGAGGGGCCTTTGTAAGCTGCTTGCCCATCACTTACTCTTAACCACTGACGTCAGATCATATCACACAGAAAAGGTCATTTGAACATCTTCCAAGAAAGGCAAGTAATACTTGTGGCTGTAAATATGGTTTTTCTTTAAAAAGACAAGACAGCAATTGCTTCAGACAGGCAGGTTATTAGCAGGACCCATTTTTTTAAGCCACCTCATTTGATTAGTTGGGCAGAAGCAGATTATGTTCTGCCCGACTGGACGGTCCTCCCATACGACACAATATCACACACTCTACCCTTTTAGAACACGCAGCCAGCCGCTACGGCATCCTCTACTTTATTGGCAGCTGGGCCTCTAAAAAAAGAAAGGACCCTTCCTGCCAAAAGAACACTCTCCCCAGTTCTGTGACTCATGGCCCAGAATAAGGGTAGAGAAATCCAGAAGAGGACAGGCACGCAGACCACAATATCTATTACCCCACATCCCCAGGGACTGACGCCAGAGATCAGACTGACTGGTGGCCAAAGGACAAAAATTTACATGTAGGGGAAAAAAAAACCCAAAAAACCAAAAACATAAAAAAACACCACCCTCCAACAATTTTAAAAAGTACTTGAATTTACAACTTAGTTTGCTATAATGTGGTGAAGACAACTTGGATTTTGCAAGGTACATTATGAACATACTCCATGTTACACTGCAAAGAAACACACACACACACACACACACACACACACACACATCCATATCCATATCCATATCGATCCAGGTGAGGTCTTCATCAGAAGTTACCTAGGTGAGAAAACAGTGAAAAGAATTTTCTGGGTTTTTCCATTTATACAGTTCTGATTAACTGGTTAGCTTTTCGCTACTCTTACTTCACCCCCATCTTTTCACTGGTGATCCTATGACACTGTAAGGAATAAGTGGAATAAGGGAAAAAGGAAGAGATACAAATCCATCAGTTGAAACTTCTGGTAAAAATGGGCCCTATTTACTAGCTATACCATCAAGGACAATCACGTTAAGAGCCCTCCCAACCTCTAACTTTATTTTATATAAAGGAGAAAACTGAGGTTCAGAAGTATAGTGACTTACTCAAGGTCATCTGTCAAATTAGTGGTAGAGCAAAGACTGGAACCCAGGTCTCCCGATTTCAAGACACAGCTTCTCCCCAGTTATTCCTTATATTCTAGGACATAACTCACATTTTTTACTCAGCTCTCACAACGGCCTCGTGTAATGGAAAGAGCACTGGTCAGATGGCTTGGGACCATGTCATATACAATCAGGGCCTCAGTTTCCTTATCAGTAAAAGGAGGGTATTGGTACATGTCAATGAGGTGTCTGTGAGACACAAACGATGTAAAAGGCACTCTGTATTTGCGAGCAATTATTTCTATTCACAAAGAATTCCTACGTTTCATACAACAGACACGTGTTTAGATCACATGTGCTGAGTTTTTACTTTAAGGAATTTCTGAACAAAGCAAAACTCGATCCCTAAATTTATGATGAATGAAACCAAACTCACACTTGAACCAAAAGCTGAAATAAATCCTACTAACTCCTCAAGCCTTCTCCCCTTCTCTTTAGGGCCAGCTTGTGAGAGGCAGCATGGTGCAGCATTGAGAGCTGGCCTCAAAGCCAAAAAGTCCTGGGTCCAAGTGCCATTACCTCTCAGTGCTCTGGGCACAGAAGACTCAAAGTTGTAGAGGAGGTGATGACCTCAATTGGTGGAGGGAACTTCCTCATATGGGAGTTCCCTATACTGATGAAACCAAAGGTCCTGTCCCTATCCCAATCTGACCTAAGAGACCAGCTCAAGCTGGACACCTAAACCCGAACAAAATTAGATAGATATCTCTGAGCTAAACTTTTATTTTAAGCCTCTCAGTTATCTACTGGTGCAAAGGTAAATTCCAAAATACACTGGGGAATTAGAAAAAGCAGGAAACACCTGTGCCAATTCAGACCATAATAAAAACCTATCTGCATTTGTTTCATTATTTATTGTGAGTGTGCTCACATCACAATGCCAGGCAGGGAAGATCTTAGGTCATTCACTGACTGAAGATTATAAACTTACAGAAGAAACAGGGAAAATATTCCAGAATAACATGTCCCAAGGGGCAAAGTTTAGAATCATAGTCCGTTTTCTGAAAGCAGGAAGATTTTTTTTTTTGTGTGAGGGAACTGGGGTTATGTGATTTGCTCAGGGTCACAAAACTAGTAAGTGTCAAGTATCTGGTCTGAGGCTGGATTTGAACTCAGGTCCTCCCGACTCCAGGCCCAGTGCTCTATCTACTGTACCACCTAGCTAGCTACCCTGAGAGCAGGAAGATTCTTTGTTTTTTTGTTTGGCAATGGGGTTAAGTGACTTGCCTAGGGTCACACAGCTAGTGAGTGTTATGTGTCTGAGGCCAGATTTGAACTCAGGTTCTCCTGACTCCAGGGCCGGTGCTCTGTCCACTGTGCCACTTAGCTGCCCTCCTTTTTTTGTTTTGCTAGGCAATGTGGTTAAGTGACTTGCCCAGGGGAAGATTCTTGAAAGAGCCTTCTCGTCCAAGCCTCTCACCGGAGTAGGTGAAGGCCCAAATAGCTACACTGATTTGCCCCCCTGTGCCAGGGCCAGCTCAATGCAGCCAACAATAAGGTCCCTTCCATTACACAGCAGATTTGTTTGCCCATCTATAAAACGGGGGGGATCTGACCAGATGTTCCCATGGTCCTTTTTTTGTTCTAGGCCTCAACGAATCTGAAATCGCAGGTGCCGGATTGGGCTTTTAAGGACACTTTAAATGTCTCGGTGGACAGTGACCTTGTCTCCATGAGAGGGCAGACGCCAGTGGAGATGAAGCTGACTTGGCAGGCTTTCAAATCAACTCCCTCCCACTACTCTAAGCTGATCAAGAAGAAGGAAGAGGCTCACCTTTGCTCAGCTGCCATTTCTCTGACGAACGTTTTGTCTATCTTTGTCATTTGAAGACACGCCACTTTTCCTAGGGAGACGGACAGAAGAAGAGAACCTCTTGGCATACTTAGAAAACAGGAAGCCTGGGCAGAGAGCCCAAAATCTACTGGCCTATATCTCTGCCCCCTTTTGTGGCTAAACTCCTTGAGAAGGCTGTCTAGCATCAGTGCCTCCACTTCTTTCCTTTCACTCTCTTTAAATCTTCAAAATCTGGTTTCCAACCAAAACTGCTCTCTCCAAAGTTACTAACAACTGGTAATTACCAAATCTATTGGTATCTCCTCAGTCCTCAGCCTTCCTGACCTCTCTGCAGCCTCTGACACCATCCATCACCCTCTTCTTTCCATTCTCTCCTCTCTAGGTTCTCTCCTGGTTCTCCTTCTTCTAGTCTGAACAAACCTCAGTCTCCTTTGCTGAATTTTCCTCCAGCCTGTTAACTGTGTGCTTTATCCTGAGCCCTCTTCTCTACTCACTTGGTGATCTCAGCAGCTCCCATGGAGTCAATGATCATCTCAAAGCAAGATGATTTTCAGATCTACCTGTCTAGCCCTACCTTCTCCCCTAACTTTCAGTCACACATTCAGATGCCTACTGGATCTCACAGACCTATTAAACTTACCCTGTTCAAGCATGGATTCATACATTCTCCCTAACCTCCCGATTCCTGTCAAGGGGTACACCCCACTCTCCTGGTTCCCCCACAAGGTGTGCAACCCGGGCAGCCATCTCTGGATATTCTGTCTCGACCCCTCCTATCCAATCAGTCTTGAAGTCCTGTTGTTTCTATCTTTGCCACACTGCTTGAACAGGCCCCCCTCTGTCTTCTTGCAACACAGTCACTCTGGTATGGGCACTCATCACCCCATGCCTAGATTCTGCAATAGCCTGCTGGCTGGCCTCCCTGTCTCAAGTCTCTCCCCAGCCCTAATCCACCTTCAACTTAACTGTCAAAAAGATCGTCCAAAAGTACAGGTTTACACATATCCTTCCTCCCTCCCACTCCATTCTAAACTCCATTGGCACCCTATTACCTCAGGACCAAGGATGGCATCCTGTTTGGCCTCTTCCTACCTTTCTAGTTTCCTTATACTTTATCCCCCTCTACCCCCACCCCCACCACACTCTTTGATCCAACGACACCGGCTTCCTTGGGCTCTTCAAACATAACGTTCTATCTCCCGACTCCCAGCATTTCTCCTGGCAATTCTCTTCCTCCTCATCTTGGCCTCCCGGCCTCCCCCACTTCCTTCCAGCCTCAGCCAAAGGCCCGCCTTCTGCAAGAAGCCTTTCCCAGTACTGCTTACTCTCAGTGCCTTCCCGTTAAGACGACCCCAGTTTATCCAGAACGTATCTCCATGTTGTCTTCCCCATTAGATTGTGAGCTCCTGGAGAACAGGGACTGTCTCTTGCCTTTCTTTGTATCCCAGGGCTTAGCATGGTGCCCAGCATACAGTAAGAACTTAATAAATGCTAGCTGACTCAAATGGGTGAATCTAAAATGTACTAAAAAGAGGAACCAAAAGTATGTGAGTCAAGATGGAGAAGCAGTCACTGAATAAGGTGTCTCACCTCATAAGCAGCACCTGAAAATTACCCGACAGGAACGTTCACTCCTTACTAGTTATGGTATTCTCAGTTCCCTTCTGCACTATTTACACAGGCCTGGCCCCTAAATCCTCAAACATAGCTCCTGCCCATTTCTACTACGACCAACTCATACTTACAGTGGTGCAGAGCCGCCATCCTCATCTTCTCAAGCAAGGGGTAACCAAGAGGAGAGAAAAATGAAAAGTGTTAAGAGTTAGTTCGTGACTGTGCTATTTCTACTAATGATCCGTTCTCCCCTGTACCCTCGTTTCCCCAGTTCCTAGTAAACAACACGAGCTTGCCCAAGAGAACTCACCTCAGTTATAAAAGAATCTGGGTGGAAAAGTACCCTAGAGATCACTGAGTCCAATCCCCTCATTTTACACACAAGGAATCTGAAGCCCATAAAGGGAAGTAACTCACTGTGGTTATAAAGGAAACCAGAAGGGAGGCTCCTACTAGGAGGTAGGTCTTCACATTCCTGGTCCAGTCTAATGTGTATGTGAGTCCCACCTCTCTGGGATGAATTCCTTTTTGAAAAATCGACCACAAAGTCCTGGAAACTACTGAGGTAAGGGGCTACAGCGTGCGGCCTTACAAGGGCACCCAGGGCCGCTGACTTCTTAAAGGTTCTGAACGATGACCTCACCTTGAGAAACTGATTTTAACACCAGCACGTTATATGACCTTGGACAAATCAATTCCCTTATCTGGTCTCATTTTCCTTCATAGAAATCTGGGATGTTTTAGGTCTAAATCCTATAAAAAAAATGGAGGCGTTGGACTAGACAATCTCTAAGGTCCTTCCAAAATGTTTTTGAATACAACTCATTTTTAAGCTCATAAGCTCCCTCTGACAGAGGGAGGGTAAAAGATTAGATTCTCTATTTTTTTTTAGAGAAGACACACAAACATAACAGGTCCCAAGGGCACAATGCAAACAGTCTCCGTGATTTCATGCACTCCAACAGGACAGGATGCCCAACACCTTCTGGAGGCCAGAGTGGACACACAAGCCATTCAGTGACTCTTGGGTATACTAGTCACTGAGATCTGAACCTCATCCAATGAGTAAGAAAGGGAAAGAATAAGTGCTAGAATTGCAGACATCTGTGAGAAGGCAACTAATTCTCCGCTCATACCACCACCCCAAACTGTGCTGATAGCTTTCAGTTAATACTGAGGGAGTCCTGATGCTGGACACATGCAGACAAGGAAAGTGTGAAGGACAGGGTGCCCATGTCATTCATGCTTCAAGCAGGCATAGTGCAGCCTGGGAGCTGCCATCTTGGCTCAGGTTTCATGAGAGTTAAGTGAAAGCTCCCAGCGGTGTAAAGTCATGCAAAAAGTCAAAGAGTTCATGCTTGGTGATTCAAATAGCTGATGTGACGGCTGAAGTCGAATGACAACTGGAGGGGCCATTCACTTACCACGTGGGGGTTCAGCTAGCAGCAGAAGCAACGAAGAGAAAACAAGTAAAAAGTGAAGCAGTTGTCACTCTGACCTGGACTGCTGGTCTCCTACTGATCTCTGACAACAAACTCCACAGAACTAGAAACAGCTAGTTTAAGAACAGGTAGTGTAACCCACCAAGCAGTGCAGGAACAGGGGAATGCCCTTTCAAGTCTTATGTTCTTCTAACTAGGAACAGCCCCTCCAGAGCCATCTCCATCACTTAATGGGAAATGGAAATCTGCTAATGAAAAAGTTGGAACTCTTCTAGAAATTCTGGCATCCCTAGCCTAACAGATTTTTCTCAGCTAAATAAAAAGTACCTTTATTTATTCAGTTGAAGAAAAAGTTAACCCCCCTCTCCCCCCCCAAAAAAAAAACTCACCTAGGTGGTCCAGAAGGGAAAGAAACAGGCCCTCCCTTTTCCTCCCCCTCCAACAAAATGTGTAAGTGGGAAAGAGGTTGGACGCTCAGACCCCACCAAGGAAGGGGATTTTGTCATTCACATGTGGGGAAGGCCTGAACAGCAGAATCTTCAAGATCAAAGGGACCCGAAGGTAATCCAGGTCCAGTTCTTACCTGATACAGAATCTCCTTTCACAACAACATTGCAAGAAGTCATCTAGTCCCTCCTTGAAACATTTCCAGTTAAAGGTAACTCACTCTACTCAGCCAATCCAGAAGAGGGAGGGCCATCTAATATCAGATGGAGACTGGGCCCAAATTTAACTCCCATCCCCTGAGTCCTTGTTCTGAATTAGAACAAGTCTCTTGCCTGACCATCCTGTAGACACTTGAAGACAACAATCACCTCCCCACTTAGCTCCTTTACTGTCTTCCCATGTTCCTCATCTGGCCTTCATTTGTAGCCCCCCTATCTTAGTCACCCTTTTCCGGACCTACTTTTCTTCCTTGTTCATGTCTCTCTGAAAAAAAGCTGCCCAGACTGGAATCCTCTGGCTGTTGTTTGATCAGTGCAGAAAATGGAGAGGCTATAGCATCTCCCTCATTCCTCAAACAGCATTTTTTAGTGACCATGTAACACTGCTGAGTACTGAGCTCATACCTTTACTACAATTCCAAAGTCTTGTAATGATAAAAATGCTGAATATAATAGATCTAGGGGCAGCTAGATGGCTCCGTGAATACAGCACTGGCCTTGGAGTCAGGAGGACCTGAGTCCAAACCTGGCCTCAGACACATAACACTTCATTAGCTGTGCAACTTCGAGGAAGTCACTTAAACCCAATTTCCTCACCAAAAAACCATACAAAAAACCCCCCAAACTACAATCAAAAACAAGATAGATCTAAAGAGAAAAGCCTGAAGCATGCTAGAGACAACTGCATGTCTGGACATTTAAAAAGCTATAAATACATCCATGTATTGTCATCATCCTACTCATGAGGCCCCACCTTTGTCCAGAAAGATAGGAGAGGCTTTGTTAGAAGCTCTACTAAAATCTAGATATGCAGCATCTTTCACATTTCCCTGATATGTCAGTCTAGTAACCTTTAAAAAAAAAAAAGAAATTAAGTCCCTCTTGAGGTTATGAGGAAATGAGGCCAATTCCTCCTTGAGATCTAACATAATCCCCTTTGCTGCTACAATCTGGGCCTCTCCTATAAGGAGAGGGAAGGAACCTGGGATTTCTCACTCCTCACTGAGGCACCTGATCTCCAACGGACAACAAAGGAACTGAATCAGAGGATGACTGATTTACCCAAGTTCACAAAGTCAGGGACAAGACCCAGACTTGTAACCTTTTGTCCAAAGTTCTTTTCAACAGACTAGTATTTGCCAAAGCAGGGCCTGGGGCATTTAGAGTGTTTGGCTCGGGTCATGTATAAGCCCTCAGGGCTACGAAATATAACGAAGACAAAAGAACAGGGACCAGCAGTGAAAATACTTTTTGCAGAAGCTTGGGGACAAAACACTTTTAAAAATACATGCACAAGCTTTCAGCAAAGAAAATTCAGGGACAGAATTTAACGAGCAGCTTAAAAATCACATGCTGAGTACTGGTCAAAACCAGGAGCTTTAGAGAGCATCTAATTTTACAGGTGGGGAAAATGAGAGCCAGAGACAAAGGGGATTATGTCCAGTTATTCAGTGAATGAGAACCTAGGTCCCCTCTCCTGACTGCCTAGCTGCTGATCTTTCTACTACATCTCCCAAACCCCACATCCAACTGCTGTCTGTCTGCACTGCTCTTGTGGACAGCCTCTGCTTCAATTGCTCCCCACTGTCCAAGCTCCTTGAAGATAAGATTTTTTTTCAAGTGCCCACTACAGATAGACAGTAAGACAGATCTCTGCATCTATTATAGCATCCAAAATGAGAAGTCATTCAACATGTAGCTGCTGAATTGTTCTGGAGAAGAGACCTCTGAAAAGACTCAAGACTTAAGACTTCATTTTGTTTATGGAAGCTGCTGGTCTAGAGTATAGTACTCTACTAATTATTCCCTTGCCCTTCTCTTCCCACCTTGTACACTGACTGAAGAAGCCCCTCCTTACCTTCTGACAAATCATCAGGCTTTCTCCTCTTCTCATAGATGAAGATGATGGTGACCAGGACCAGCACCTCTGCCACAATGCCCAGGAAAGGCCAGAGTGCAGCCAGACGGCTGCGGACCTTCAGGGTGATGACAGCAGAATCAGAGCCCTCAGAGTTGGTGGCGTTGCAGATGTATTTTCCAGGATCCTTCTCCAAATCCGCGGCTTGAATCTGCAGTTCCGTTTTTTCAGGAGTCGATGTTATGAAGTACTTCCCATCAGTACCATTAATAATGGACTGTAAAGAAGGAGGAAGTAGTCATCAAAGAGAGAACGGTAACTTAGAGGCCAGCATTCCCAAGAGGCATCATGGCACAATGGAAAGAGAAGTCAGAGTTCTGAAGTCACAGAGCTTGGCTTCCAATTTTGGCTCTGCCACTTACTTTCCAGCTATGAGATCTTAGGTTAGTCGAAGCTTTTCTGGGCCACAGACTCCTCACCAGAATCGTAAGAGGTAAAAGGAGACCTCTCCAGTCCTTTCCAAATCTTAATCTACACTATTCTAATCCCACCTATATTAACCAGCTGATCCTCTGCTCTCTCATTTGTAAAATGGAGAAAAATCTGTGATCCTAATACCTGCCCTGACTACGTGGAAGGCCTTTGTAGACTGCAAAGCCCCACAGAGATTATAAGTAATTCACAGACACCCAGTGTGATACTTACTATAGTATTTTCAGGCTCATGTTGTTTGTACCAATTCCACTGTTGGATAGAGGGATATGAATGACTCTTACACGTGAGTATTATCATGTCTCCCTCATTGCCATGTTCCGACTTCTTGTTAATCAAAATCTTTGGGGGACCTAAAAGGAGGAGAAAGTGTGAGATTAAAAATGCAATTATTCAGTGCACAAACTGAGGCCTCCAAATCTGTCAGCAGTGACACCCTAGAGGCAGGACACCCACATCTCCTCCCAGCTCTGCCAGAAGCTAAGTGACTAGTTTCAGAATTCTCTCTCAGATTCTGCATCAAATTAATAGTAGAGCTCCTCCAGCAACCATGTTCTAAGAAGGGAGTGTGCAGGTTCCTCCCGCCTCGGGACAGGATGGATGCAATCCATCCTCCCTGCTCACCTACACGTTCACTCCAACTCCCATCCAGCCCACCACCTTGACCTGCCTCAGTGATCACTGTGCCAATTTCATTGCTGCTTTGGAATCAGCCTGCTTGACAAATATTGCTTTGTAACTTCAAACTTTAGTTTTTTTCCAGATAAACATACCATGCTGCTACAAGAGACGCTCTAGAACTCAAAATGACAGCCCCTTACCCTCAAGGGCATTCCCTGAACAGCCACACAAAACCACAAGGAAGACCACACGCTTTAACTGCCAAGCCTGATGCCAACATTGTCCGTAGTATTTGACCAGCTTTTCATCGCTGCTCAGTGAGCGTTTTGGCCCCTGTACACATCTATTGCTTTCCCGTTAATTAGCATCTTCTCAGGGCTCTCTGATTTCTTGAGGTATATTATTCTTGGTACATGCTCAAACTTTTCAACCAACGTTCCTCCCACTGCCTCGAGTCAGCAGAAAAGCCCGGTTCTGCTCAGAAGATGCCTCCTCCCTGTTGCTGAACATTCACTGTCTACCTCCTCAACTCACAGGGACAAGAAGGGGAGGCAGTCTGGATGCCTCACTCCTCCCTACCTTCCCAAATCACCTAACACCAGAAATGCCTTTCCTCTTTCAAGCTCCATTCACTCCATCTGCACCACCGTATCTTCATATCAACCTTGTGCTGCACATCTACTAATTTCCAGGTAACTTTTAAATGAATTTAGTGGTTCACCATTTCTGTCTCTTTCCCTTCATCCCTGGGCATTTCAATAATCATGCCAACAGCCCCTCTAGAAACCCGCTGTCACTTCTCCTACCCCAATGACCTCTATGTCACACAGACGTGGGCACACTTTGGACCTCACCATCCCTCAGAACTACACTACTTCCAAGAGTCAACGTATGGAGTAGGAGCTCGACGCTTGCTAACTGCTCCAATCTTCTCCCCCAGCACTGCTACCTAGGCTTCTATTGCTACTCTCACACTACATCCTTATCACAACCTTTCAGTCTGCATTTTCTTATCCCACTCCTCTGTTCTGGCTTCACTTGTTCCCATGTCTAGCTGCGATCACACGGTCTGCCACTTTGATGACTCACTGCTTACTACCCTAGGATCCTTTGCGACACTGACCTTTCAGCAATCCCGACAGGGGAACCCTTATTCTAATCACAAGAGTAATCCCTAACAGATTTCTCTAGTCTTATCGTATGGCTGCTGAGCATAAGTGCAAATATTAATCAAGTTTAATCAGATTCTTGGTATATAACCTTGGCTGGGCACTCACTGCTATTCAGTTCCACTGTACTCCTAATTCCTGATAGCAACTTTCCCAAGACTTCTTTTTTTTTTGCCAATAATTGCAACACTGTCTCCACACACTCATATATAGAGGTAGACAGTTATCTCTACAACTCACCTAAGACTAACTGGAGAGACCTATGCTCGATTCCATTCCCTCGATTCCTCCAGGACCTTGGTCAAGCACTTGTCCAACCATCACACACACCCACACACCCAACCCTGAACTTAACATTAAAAAATGAACACTGCCATACACAAAGTAGATCACAGCAAGAACTGTCTATGAAATCAGATGTCTCTATTCCATACTGCTTCCTTTTAAAAGACTATAATAAATACAACCTGTTACTTCCAAAACTGTGCTGCTTATCTGTTCCTCCTTCTGAATTCCTTTGTGCCCTTACAAATGTTTCAGTAGGGGCAGCTAGGTGGTGCAGTGGATAGAGCACCTGCCTTAGAGTTCAGAGGATCCAATTTCAAATCTGGCCTCAGATACATAACACTTACTAGCTGTGTGACTCTGGGTGAGTCACTTAACCCCAACTGCCACACACACACACAACACACACAAAAAGTTTCAGTGGCTTTCTGTTTTTGGCATCACAACTCTCCCCAGCCCCTACCAAAAAAAAAAAATTAAAAACGGGGGGGGGGGAAGCAACATGATCATTTGTGGTAAACAAGGACAGTGAGGCAGAAGAAACCCATACAGTGACCGTGTGCAAAAATGCCATCACCACCCTCCCCCACTTATGGGGGTAACTTCATCACAGATCCTGTGAAGAGATGATGGTTGTTTTGATCAGCGTTCTCAAGTCTTTCTTGTTTTTCTTTACAATGCTGGTGTCCCTGCATAAAGTTGTCCTCCTGATTCTGTTCACTTCACTCTGCACCTTTGTTACTTCTTATGGTGTAATAAGATTCCATTATATTCATAGACCACAATGTGTTCAGTCATTCCCCAACTGATGGGCATTCCCTTAGTTTCCATTTCTTTTTCCTTTTTACCTTTTAAGCTCCCTTCACAAAGCTGACATTTTACTTGCAACTCTTTTACCTGCAATCCCCTCCCCAGTATATAATCTTCTCTCAAACCCACCCTATCATATCCTACCAGTTTCTCTGCTAAGCTTAAAGTATTTCTATATTTTATAGTATAGTACAATATACTGTAATAGAATTATAGTACAGTATACTTCTTTGTGCCACATTCATACATGTTTAACTCCTTTGTCCAATTCAGATAAAAGATCCGTCACCTGCAAGGGCAGCCTGGTGGAGCAATAGATACAGCACCGGCCCTGGAGTCAGGAGGTCCTGAGTTCAAATGTGACACTTACTAGCTGTGTGACCCTGCACAAGTCCCTTAACCCCATTGCCTAGCCAAAACAAACAAACAAACAAAAGATTCATCATCTTCCCTTTACCCCCTCCCTTCATGTTTGTTTACTCTTCACACACCTGATTTTTCCTCCTTTCTATCTAGATCAGTATACTTCTTTTCCTCCCATCTTAAAACTTTCAGAACAGAACCAATCCATTCCCAGGCCCTCTATCTTATTTAACTCTATCAATACCCTTTAAAAACAATAGAGGTTTCAGGGGCAGGTAGGTGGCACAGTGGATAGAGCACCGGCCCTGAAGTCAGGAGGGCCTGAGTTCAAATTTGGCCTCAGACCAAACACTTGACACTTACTAGCTGTGTGACCCTGGGCAAGTCACTTAACCCCAACTGCCTAAAAAACAAAAACAAAACAAAAAACAATAGAGGTTTCTAAAGAAAGAGTTTGTGCCACATTATCTGAATTGGACTCTTTCATACAGCTTCTGCTCAAATAAATGCACCTTCCAGGTTTCTCTTGAGTAGTATGTCTCCATTTCAGACTTACTAGTCAGCTCTGTTCTTTTCATCAGGAATGCCCCCAAAGCATTAAATTTTTTAAAAATTAATTTAAAAATTCTTTAAATGGCTTTTAATGAAGGAGTAAAAGGTTTTCTTCCCCTGTAGGATTCTCAGCTGCATAAATTATTCTTGTTTGCAAGCCTGTATCTTTTGCCACCTTTAGAAACTTTGTATTCCAAGATTTCTTCTCATCTCTAATAGCTGCTTCCATGTTAGACTGATTGCAGTTCCTTGATACCGTGCTTGAATTCTTATAGTTGTTTGCAGCATTTTTTCTAAATGTGGAAACTCTGAATTTGGCTATGACATTCCTAGGAATTTTCATTTTAGGGTTCCTTTTAGGAGTGATTGGTTTGCCCTCCAACTCTAACAGATCTGGCTAATTTTCAGTTTATGATTTCTTGAAATACAGTATCCAGGCATTAAAAAAATTTTTAAGGGAGTCTAGCAATTCTCAAGTTATCTGTAGATTTATTTCCCAGATCAGACGTTTTTTATATCAGCTATCTTACATCTTCTACTGCTTCAGTCTTTTGATTTGTTCTAGCATTTCTCACTATCTCATGAAGTCATGATTTCTGGAAGTATCACTCAGGTAAGATTTACTATTTTCTGTTCTCAGCTATTTACTCTACTTCTAATTCTCTCCTCCAGAGCTTTTATTTTTTAAAACTCTTGCTTCATTTCTTCTAAGTATTCACGCAGCCCTGGGGGGAATTTCTTTTTCCTTTGAATCACTGCTTAAGGCTGTTGGGAAGTTCTTTCCTTCTAGGTTAGATTTTGGGGTATCTCTGGCTCTATTATAATTCTTTAGAATGGCCAGTATCTCCTGGCGTTTATGCTTATCTCCAGCCTTAATTCCTGAACTGAGCTTTGTGCCAGGGTCAGGCTGACCTTCTTGCTGTACTTTTCGGTGAATTGCTCAGCCCTACTTAGAACTGTCACCTGAGTTACTGAACTAAACTCCGCCTCCTGGGATTGGGCTCTTAATTGGCCTTTGAGGTTCAGGGAGTCCCAGTTCTGAGTGCTACAGTGACTGTACTGGTCACTGCCACTCTCAGTAGCTGACCTCTGAAGAGCTTCTGTAGGAAGGGGGAGTCCTCTGTCCTCCTACCTGTGGACACAGCCAGGCAGGATACATATATTTTTGTCTGCCTGTACTAGTGGTAGCTTTTCTGGAAATTCTCTTTCCTATACTCCAGGGCTTTTAGCTGACTTTTAATATAGTTCCAAGGTGGAAGAATTCACTAAGTTTTTTTCAGTGAATTTCTTGATGATTACGTAGTCCGGTGAGATTTCTGGGTTTTACTAGAGTAGGTGTATGTATTTTTAATTTTTTTGCCATTAATTTCTTCCCAACTACCAACATTTTTGTTTCCTACCTCCACCTTTCCTAACCTGTCCATCTGACATCTCTTCTCCTTTACCGCTAAATTTGAAAAAGTTTTCTAGACCAAAAGGCTCTATTTCCTCATTACCTAATTTCTCCTTAATCCTTTACCAAAATTGTCCCTCAGATCTTACATCTAGTGTTGGAAGGGATCTAACATTGAGTTTCTGCCGCCATCATTCTAAAACTATACTAAAATCACAATTTTTTTCATCCTTAGTCTCCGACCTATCCGCAGTTTTTAGAATAGTTAACTGCCTTCTCCTATTGGAAAGACTCTCCTCTCTCAGCACCAAAGACCACATTTCCTTTGCTTCCTTCTTTAATCACTCCTCCTTGGCCCCTCTTAAACCTTTAATGTGCGGTTTCCCTAAGGGTTTCTCCTTGGCCCATTTTTCCTTATACTTTTTACCTTGGCAATTTTATTTACTCCCACGGCTTCAATTACCTCTCTGCTGACGGCACTTGAATCTCACAAAAGATAATTCTGTTCTTTATGAGGTTATATAGGTAAAACAGTATCACAGAATGGCAAATGTACTTGTAATACACAATACCAAAAATGCCACAGACTTAATCCCTTTCTTGTTAATGGTTTTATAAAAACATATTTGACAGAATTAAAATAAATGGGAAAATAGAATTTACTTTACAGAAATCAGCTCTTCGATCAAGAAGGGCTTTACACATTGCTCTATATGTGTAATCATCTTACAACATCTTGCCAGTTTTTCTACCTGCTAAGGAAAGAATGCTACTGGACCTAGTTAAGTTAACCTCTTAACCTCTTTATCTGCAAACCAGTTCCCAGAGAATTCCCTCCTGTAGAATAGCATGCACAAGACAAGCTTACTTTAGTTTAATACGGCCAACAATAAATCCCTTTATTTCTTTTTTCTTTTTTTTTGATGAGGCAATTGGGGTTAAGTGACTTGCCCAGAGTCACACAGATAGTGAGTAAGTATTATGTGTCTGAGGTCGGATTTGAACTCAGGGCTAACTCCAGGGCCGGTGCTCTATCTACTGCGCCACCTAGCTGCCCCAGTCCCTTTATTTCTAAAATCATTTTTATTTACTAAGAATAAAATCTTGAGTTCCTACTCAGTTTTCTACAAGAAATGTTCACCACTGCATATAATGATTTTTCTAAAACTCTCCCAGTTTTTTCCTAGTTGCACAAATTTTCACATATGGTCTTCCTGAAGTCTTCTGAGGGTTTGACTTTATTTTCTTGGTATCAGGTCTAGGTAGGTTTAGGTTCAGTGTAAAAGTGGGCCCCAGCGGGCTGAACTAGCCTTTCAGTCTGAACCACACACGCTCAAGGACTACCCAAAAGGGCACTGAGTATGGACCCTACAAACATCAGGATACCAGTATTTATCTACTTGAAACACTTTCTGAAGAAATAACTTTCAGGAACCATATTTATTACATTCCCATAGGCTCCCTAATGACTTCTTCAAGATTCTCTCAATGCCTTAACCACCAGTAAATAAACATTTAGTTAATTAAAATTTACATATGGTTACTTTCTTTGGGCTATGGTCCAGTGATAGATGTTACCTTTTACTTGTACCTCAGCCTTTCCTGTAAGCTCTGGAAGAAAAACGCACTGATACTCCCCGGATCTATCATCTGACAAAACCCTGAAAGAGGAAACAGGTATAAGGTAAAGAGGGTGAAAACAACAACAAAAACAAAAAACCAGACAGCTGTAGTCAATTACAGCGGAACTCTAAGGACACAGACATTGAGAGTTTAGCTGGTCAGTACTGTTCCCGAGTATTAAAATTGGTACAAATTCCCCCATTTTTTAAAGGACTGAAAAAAGTTGAATCTATGTGGAACTCTAAAAAGAAAGCAAATTATAAGCCAAAAATATCACCCAGTTATGAGTCTCTCCTGTACTAATTCAGAATCCTCTAGGAAGATCTAGAAGATTCCCTCACTTCTCAAGGATTTCAAACTGTTCATGATTACAGGTTGCTCTTAATGCCCCTGCTTGCAGAAAAACCTGGTATTTCTGAGAACATGTTTCCCTCCCACCCAGACAGTCGACTAAAGAAACTCAGTCACACCAGGTAAGAAAAACAGCACAGCAGGAGCCAAAAGGTGTGGAGTTTGATCCCAGATCTCCCCAGGGACGTCCACACCTCAGTGCTTTCATCTGTAAGAGGCAATAGCTGCACTAGATCATCTCTAACAGCCCTTGGAGGGCCAGCATGATATGGCTATAGACTTCTACCACAGTAGAAACATGTACAGTACAGTGCATGCTCAACACCAACGCTCCTCGCCTTGGAGCACTGCAGTCAAGCGCGAGCTTGGAGTAACAGAGACCTTTTAAAATCCTGCCGCTGACATTCACCAAAACTCTATGCTGGGCACGGGGAAGACAAAGACAAAAATCAAACAATGTTTGCTCCCCAGGGCCTTTTATATTCTATCTGGGGGTGTGTTTTATATGTACAGGCAAATACCTCCAAATAAAAGTGGGCTTTTTTGGGTGGAGGGGGAAGGTGCCAGGAAAAGGAGATAGTACTCAAGCTGAGCCTTGAGGGAAGCCAGAGATTTGGTGAAGCGATGAAAAGTCACCATGTGGGGAACAGCGAGAAAGCTCATTCAGCTCGCTGACCTGGGCCTCAGTTCCTCCATCTGTAAAATGGCGACCACACCAGAAAGAGATCCTCTGGGATGCTACTGTACGTAAAATGTTTTGCCAACTTTGGAGTGCTATATCAACATCGGGTACTCTCCTGCTTTCCAATCGCTTCCCTTACGCTACAGGACGGAAAGCCAATAGGACATGCGCCTAATTAACTAGCCCTGTAAACTAAGAAAACTTTGTTCCATTCATTCCATGAAAGACCAATCTCTTACCATTACCTGGCATAGATAGGGAAGAATTAAAGAGTTATTTTTCTCTATGACCGTTCAAAAACTTTCCCGTTTAAATTCTGAGGGAAACTCATAATTTCTATTAGCGCATTTGACATGACAGAATTCAAGGTACTCGCTAGCTACCTTCAAAAATCTTCTGATTCTGTAATTCCAGGGCCCTTTACTGAAAGGGGGCTCAGTCTTCTGTGATCACAATAATTTCCTTGTTAATTCTACCAGATGGGTATGTTGCCCCCTTCCCAAAAGCCACTCAGCTGAGGAATTGAGGTCACTGGATGAAGGCCAGGTTATAAATACTTTAATCCTCATTTTGCCTCCCTGTTGCCATGGGAGGGGAGGGAGGAGAGGCAATGAGGCCCATCAACTCCTCTACACAAAGGGCATGATGCTTTGGCTCTGAACACCAGCTGGAATTGACGGTAATGAGAAGGGAAGCTTATTATGCTATTCTGATGGGCTAGTATTCCCTAGCTTTCACCATTCTACAAAATAGCTATTCACTTTTGGGAACGTTAACCATGAAAGGTTCAAATGGAAATACCGATTTCCTCAAAGAGTAGCACCGCCAAAATATTACAAGTCCCCCAAACGGAAAAAGTCCACACCACCAGCAAGATTCTGGTCTGAGACCTCCTACAATTTCCTCCACTACCAGAAACTAAAGCTCAAGAATTTGCTTTCAAGCTTTCTTTGGGCTGTCCCACTAATCCAAAATCCCTTTCTACATCAATCAATAACCAATTGTTAAGCATCTACTTTGTGCTAAGCACTGAGCTAAACATTAGAGATACGAAGACAAAAGTGAAAGAGTCCTTGCCCTCAGTGAGTTTACTTTCTCTAACAAGGGAGATAATCTGCACACATATAAAAAAATGTAAAATAGACACATGATTTTTGAAGGTGAGGGCCTCAGCAGCTAAAGAGATTAAGAAAAGTCTTAGAGGTGGAGGGAAGAAGAAGTGGAGGCTGTGAGTGCAAAGGCACAGAGAGGGATATGCAATAACAAGCATGAAGAACAGCAAGGCCAGTTTGATGGACCACAGAGTACATAAAGGGAAATAAGCCGTAAGAGACTGGGAAGGTAGATTGCAAAAGCCTCTAAATTTCAAACAAAATAGCTTATATTCTTCCTAGAGGTAAAAGGGAGCCCCTGAGCCTTTGAATTTTAGTGAACAAGGGAGAGGTATGGGCAGATCTTCACCTGAGGAAAGTTACTTGGCAACCATGTGAAAGATGGGTGGGAGAGGAGACTTGAGGCAGGAAGACTCATTAGGAGGCTAACTCAAACAGTCCAGGTAAAAGGTGACTAACCCATGATGTCAGCCATGAAAGTAGAGAGAAGGGGACTGAAAAAGATCCTGTGGAGGTAGAAAGATTTGGCAACTGAATGAATATGCACCATGAGTCGAGTGAGAGAAAGTAGTCAAGGATGAGACCAAGGTTGTGAACCTGGATGACTGATGGTGCCCTCAAGGGAAACAGGAAGTTCAGAATAGGATAGGATCAATGAAAAGATAATTAGTTCAGTTTGGGACAGGTTGAATTCAAGATGCTGATGGGACAACCAGTAAGAATTGTCAAGGCAGCTAGGTGGCACAGCAGATAAAGCACCAACCCTGAAGTCAGGAGGACCTGAGTTCAATTCCAGCCTCAGAGCAAACACTTGACACTTACTAGCTGTGTGACCCTGGGCAAGTCACTTAACCCCAATTGCCTTTAAAAAAAATTGTCCAATAGGTAGTTGGTAATGAGGAACAGAAACTCGGAATAGAGACTAGGCTTGGAAATAGAGTCATCTGTGTAGAAATGATAATTAAAACCCAGAGGAGTTAACAAGGTCAACTGCAAAGAGAGAAGAGGGCTCAGAACAGAACCTTAAACTATGCCCACAATTATATAGTGTGATACAGATGATAATCCAGCTAAGGATCCCAAGAACCTAGATCTAGAGCTGGAGCCAGAAGGGATTTCAGAGGCCATCTCGTCTAAAGCCTTCATTGGACAGGTAAGGAAACTGAGGCCAAAGAGGCTGTGACTTGCCCAAGGTCACACAGGTGGGAGTACAAAGTATCAAAGGTGACATTTGAATCCAGGACCTCTGGCTTCAGAACCAGTGTGTTTTCCATTGTATTGCCGTGTCCTAAAAGGGAACTGAAAGGGAACAGTCAGGTATGAGAACAGAGAGAGACCAACATCATAAAAACCCACAGAAGTGGAAGAATCCAGGAAGAGTACAGTCAGGAGTGTCAAATGCTGCAGAGGCCCTAGGACTCGGCCACTAAAGAGCTCACTGGTCACTTCAGACAAGGGAAGGTCAGTTGAGTGATAAGGCTGGAGGTCAGTTTGATTTGCAGAGGGTTTAGAAGAGGAAGCTGAGGCACAGTACAGACATAAGAGGAGAGATGTAGGATGACAGCCAAAGGGGATGGAAAAGTCAGATAAAGATATTTTTTAAGGATGAAAGAGACCTAGGCAGACAGTGAAAAATGTCTGCCTCCCTGTTTACTGGAGAAGACAGAAATGGAAGGGATTAAGGTGCACATAAGAAGGTTCGCCTCAGTGAAGAGATGAGGGACCTCATAAGAGACCACACTAAAGAAGGATGATATCCAGAGTTTATGAGAAAAGGAGAGAAGAGGAAACTCATGGCAAATTGCTTATCTTTTCTCAGTAAAGTTAAAAGGCAAGGCCCTTAGCTAGAAGGAACAGCAAGAGGGCACTCAGCAGGCAACTAACTATATGACAAGCTGTGTTAAAACCCACATTTCTTAGCATCTTAGAAAAGACATGTGGACACATGAGGCTCACATCTCTCCAGGTAATTAAAAGTAAATCGACCCATGGTAAAGCTCTAGAATTATACTGATAAAGAAGCTGGAATATGGAAGGAATGTTAAACCATATTCTATATGAGGGACAGTTAAAGAAACCAGGCATATTTAACACATAAATGAGCACACCTGGGAGAACACATTTGTGGTCTTCAAACATCCAGAGGGATGATCAAGGGAAAAACTTGTTCTACACAACTAGAGAAACCAGGATAGGGACAAAGGCAGAGGGGAGTTTCATTGGGAAAGAGAACTGACCAAATAAAATAGGAAGAACAGACTACTGAAAGAGTGACCTCACCAATACTGAAGTAGTCTAGCAAAGACTGGACAAGAACCACCTATAAAAGTGACTCTTACCTGAGGCAGAAGACTAATTGGATCAGATGACCTCTGAGGATACTGAGGGAGCTTACTATACTAACCACTGACTTTCAGCAATGAGTAACTGATTCTCTGTCCCAATTTTAAAATAGGAAGCAGGGCCAGGATACAGAATCTCAGATGGAAGGGACTTCGTAAGCCCAATTCCTATTGGCACCAGAGCAAGAATCTACTCTATACCACACTCAATAACGAGTCATGCCACCTCTACTTGAAGACCTCTGGGAGAGTGAGACCACTGCGTCCTGAGGCAAACGATTCTTCTGTATAGCTGGAACTGATTTGCTTCTTTGCAGTTTCTGCCCATTGTTGCTAGCTCAAACAAGTCTAATCTCTTTGCTGTAACACAGCCCTCCAAATACCTGAAAACAACTCTCAGGTCAACCCCAAGTCTTTTTCTTTTCTAGGTTAAATATGCCCAATTCCTTCAACCAGCCTTCATATGGTATGATCTCTAGACCCTTCATCATCTTGGTAACTCTTGCAACTTACCAAAGTCCTCTTAAAATGGTGCTGCCAAGAATGAATACAACATTCCAGCTGTAGTCTGTCTTCAGCATAGTGGGATCATTTGTTTCCTTGCCAGGGATATGATGACTGTCATGTAGCCTAAAAATACAGCCTTTTTGATCTCCATTATCATACTACCAACTCCCTGAAGTTGCAGTCAGTTCACTTAAAAACCTTCAGATCTTTTCCCGGACAAACTGTGGTCCAGCCACATCTACCCTATCTGATATTCAACTATCAAAAACACAAAAACAACTCTTTACTAGATTTGAAACAATTCCTATTACATTTCATTATACTCAACTCCAAATTCTACCACATGAGTTCTTAACCTTTTTTTTTGGACAGCCTAGTAAACCCTCTTCCTGATATTCGTAACTGAAGAAAATGCTCAATTTCAGTTAGAGGTTAGCGAAAACAAACATGTCACCCCCCATTAAATTTACTTTAAATCTATCTACAAATTCCTTAAAAGGTCCAATGACCCCCAAGTAAAGAACCCCCATCATCAATCTTTTGGAATCCCCATTCATACTCCTAGCTTTCTGTCATTACAAATTTGATAAGCACATCATCTACACCTTTATCCAAATCACTGATAGTTAGTCATGACTCCTGGCCCATGTTACTCAAGCAGACATCTAACTACTAATAAATCTTCTTCAGGTCCACCAATTCAACTAGCTCTCATTTTACTTCACTACATTATTGGTTAGCTTACGTCTCTACCCCGTCCACAAGAATAGCAGGACCGCTAAGCCCTTTGTTCAAACCTAAATAACTCAGATCTACACAGCGGCTAGAAAGAGGAAGGGATAGAATCTGGTCTCAGATACTTGCTAGCTATGTGACCTTGGGCAAGTCACTTAACATATCTCTATCCCCATACACACACTTTGCAAACCTTAAAAGTACATGATTATAATTAATAATGCTACTCTGATCGTGGCAAAAATAGAAATGGAGGTCCATCTGGCACCACCTTTTCTTGACGAAGTCATACCAGCTCCTTGTAAAGACAATGCTACCTCCTTTCAAGGAGCACAGCATTCAGATCTCTGTGTTTCAAATGGACACTGTTCAAGTCAATCAATGTCAATCCTTTCTAAAATCCTCCTCATGTGGCCTACTCAGGGAATTCTGGGCTCTTTTTTATATATAGTTTATGATCTGGCTGAAGTTTTATTATATCCACATAAAATAAAACTTGTATGCCTTTTCATGTCTTCAGGCTCTGAACCCCTGAGCTAAAGAGCAGAAACTCTCGTCAAACCTTGACTCTTCTTCAGTGTCTAAGAGTGCTTGCATCTAATGGATGCTTATTAAAAACTGATCAAAAATTGCTCAAGGTTTGAAAAGAGTAGGCAGGGTGGCTTAAGCTTATCTGTTAAAACAAGACACTGGCTTTTCCAAGTATGGATTTGGTTGAGGGGCTGGTGTTACTGTGCTTCTGGAAAACAAGAAATTCCCTAGTTCCCTGCCTCCCAATCGCAATTCATTTCCTCACTCAACAGCCTCAACGCCCACCCAGCCACACATTCCTCCTTACCTTAGTACATATGATGGATGGTGAATTTAGAGGGCTTAGGGATAGGTATTTTGGAGGGCTTTAAAGATATTCATTAAAAATTTAAAAAAAAATCCTGCTGTAGCCCTTGTGACATCTGAAAAAAAATAACAGAGAAATACTACTTCTGTAACAAGATTAATTTTAAGAAAAACCTACTCATATTCTGTGACCGTACTATCCGACGTATCCTCTTTCAACACCTTGCCACCCTTCAGCCAACGATGACCCTGAATTTGAGTTGAAGCTTGACTCAATCTACAGGTCAGGAGTGTTCTATGGCCAGAAACATCTATAGCCGTCAAAACAGTGCTTCCTACATTTTTACAAAAGAAAAAGACAAAGTTAGTAAAAAAAAAATTTAACAAAAGGATTGGGGGAAAACCATCATCTAGTCAAATTCAGATTTTTTAAAATTTCTCTCTACTTTCTTTCTTACCTTCTTATCCCCCACTAATTTTTTATAGTTTTCTGCTTTATGGGGGTAGAGGGAAGAATGGACATTGTTGAAGCCTAGAGACCAAAGTATTGAGTAGAGTCTATATTAAAAAGCTATTTTTTACACAGGCAGGTGGCACTCCTAGCCATTTTCTTAATAGGCATATTCTCAAGGAAAAGTTAACTGATTTTAATCCCAAAATAAATTTGAGTCCTTTCTGCAGGAAGAAACTTTACCTCTAATAAACAAATACATGCTTGTTAGCAGTAGGTTAATAGTTATACATTCATAACTTTATTTTCATGTTAGCCTCAGAAACCTTTAAAATTAGGCTGAAAATGGGCTTCAGCTTCCTCCACATCTGTAAAATGATAGTGACACCAGCTGTTAGAAGTGCCTCAAAGGATTATGTTTATCAAATTAAGTATATATAAAGCACTTCACAAACCTTGAAGCATTAAATCGATATCAGTTTTAATTATTACTAATTATTACTTTTAAGGAATAAAGAAAAAAAATTTTTCAAAATATCCCCAAAGAGCCAAAATTCTCCCCACAAATAACTACCATAACATACACATGTCTACCCTCCTATTATGCCCAGGTCACCCTGGTACCCCCCAACGAACTGTTCATACAGGGCTGAAAAATGTTCTTTGTTTTGGCCACCTAGGCACAGCTCCACTATACTGCGCAGCTGGGTTTGCATTATCAGCCAGGGACCATTTTAAATCATTTGGCTGCAACAGCTTTGAATATTAAAAAGCTGTCTTAGGAAATCAAATATAATTCAAAGAGTACAGTGTTCCCAAAGCAGTAACCTATTTTTAGAGTAGATCCAATATTGGGAAAACCCTCCTACTTCAAAAACTTAGACTTTCAGCTCTGTATGCAAGGTTGGTTCACGACACCAATAACTATGATCTACTTGTGTAACATAGAAATGGCCATTTCAAAAACGGTTGTATCATCTCGAAAAAGGTAGGATTCCTCTGAATGCAAGGCAGAGTACTCATAGAAGAAAAAACAGAAGGACTAGTTTGCTGGGTAATAGTTAAAACAGAGCCCTTAAACAGAATCAAGACTCTGAAATCTGCAAACACAGAACAGGACAACTTGAGCATGGAACAGTTCTAGGCCTTTGGAATCCAGCACAAGATGGTCAGAGAGCATTTTATGTCAAAGTCACACAACCCTTTTTGAGCAGGGCCTCAGTGGTAAAGGAATGAGAGGGAGACTCACAGAAGGAAAGTTTCTCAGGTCTACAAAGCCAAAGCAGGGAAGTGAGGAGGGACAATGGGCTTTCAGAAAGCCACAAGGCACAGGTGGGAGGTGGTGCACTGCAAACTTCAGACATCCAAAGAAATGTGGAGTCTGGTCAAGTGCTTCAGCCCAGCCACTCACGTTCGATGACAATTACGTTTGCTTGGGAACGAACCCACTTGATTTTGGGACTCTTCGACAAGTGGTTGCGGTCAGGGTCGTTGCTGGCCCGACACTCATACGTGCCAGAGTCGCTGACTGTGAGGTTAGAGATGAAGACAGTACTGGTAGAATGCTCATTGTAGGTGGCATGGATTCTGATGCGGTCCTGCCGAGCACCATCCCACAGCTGGGAGTAGGTCTCATTAGGTTCGTTTCCTTCAAACCACCACTGGATCTCTGGGATGGGGCTGCCAATTGCCTCACAGTGTAATTCCACACTGTCCTCCACCAATTTCTTTTTGGATAGTGGTGATTTTATAAAGCCAGCTATGAGTTGGAGAGGTATTAGTGCAGATGTTAGTTTAAAAGTAAAAAAAAGAAACCAAATATAAACCTAAGAAAGCATTAGCTTTCTTCTCTAAAGCCAGTTCCCCACACTAACGATGGCAAAGGAATGGTATTTCCCATGCTTCAAAAGTATCTGGAAATTCCCTGGCCTGGTAGAACACCTGCATCCCTGTCCTTAATTCTCATAAATTATGAGTGGATGAACCGGAGGATTAACATAGTCTCCATTTTTAAAAAAAATTGTTTTGTAGGCAGTAGTCACTCTTTCTAAAAAGCAGTGCGACAGAAGAAAGGGCAGTGGACGGAGAACCCAGAAGAGCTGGGTCTGAGTCCCAGTTTTTCACTTCCTAGCTGTGGGACTTTAGGTTAGTCACTTTGCTCCTGAGGCTTAGTTCTTCATCTTTAAAATGAGAGCTCTAGCTGTCCTGCCTACCTCACAGACAGATGAAGGATCAACAACTTCTACATGGCATATCATAATCTCAAAACAGGCTAGAAACACGGACTACCACCATCATTTTGGTTGCACACAAGCATTTTTGCTTCTTAGTTATCCACTATTTCGATATCCAAAAGTTGCTTACTATTTAGAAAATCCAGCTGAATCAAGTGTTGCTACATTTTATAAATGAAGAATAAATCTGAGTGAGCCTTCTCACAAAGTGACAAAGATTCTCAAGAACAGGATACAATGCAAACAATAGAAGGGAACTAGGGAACATACTTTTGAAGAAGTTTCTGTGAATAACATAGTTTAGAAAGGCAAATGACAACAAACATTAAAAAGCAGCAGCTTGTCTTTATTACTGCAGTTGCTGTATGTTTGCATCTATCCACCGGTGAAGTGTGGGTTGCGGGGTAGAGGAGGAAAGAAAAAAACAGAGGATAGGAGGGAAAGTGTGGAAGTTCAGAACAGAAGTTCTTAGTTTCACAAACTATCAAACTAGATTTCAGAAAACACCATATAAGGCAAACATTACCTACGGTCACTAGTATCTCTAATTATGTCAGCTCCTCGCAGGTACTAAAAAAGATCCAGGTTTCTTCTTGCAATCACAATTGCAACAAATAAATGTTTCCTACTGTCCAAAACGCAGCTTACAAGTAAAGAAAGCTCAAGTAGTCAAATCTTTCTAAACCAATCTTTTTTTTTTTGCTGAAGGTAACAAAATCCAGAAAAGATAAAGAACTCTTTCTTTGAAATAGAAAACCTAGCGAAGCTAAAGCACAAAATACACACTTGGTACCTGGCCAGGTGTAGTAATTCACATCAATCCAACAGCCATTAATAGATGTTCCAATTAAGTACTGGACAAAAACATCAAGCTTTGCTGTCCTCCTAAGCCAGCCCACCACCAGCCCCTGCTGAGAGCACAGGATTTGCTAAAGGTCGTGTGGTCACTTATTTGTAAAGACAAAGCCAGAACCCTAAGCAGTCTAGGGCCTGTCAGCAACACAATGACTGACCAACATGTTCTCTTTTAAGGGGCCTGGACACCCAGGAACCCATCTGGAAACAGCAGCTGACATTAATTCGGAAGCCAAAAGAATTTCTGAATCCTTAAAGAGTTGGTTGGGCCTGAGAATTTCTAATGGTGCCACTAAAACAAAACAATCATCTCACCTCATTTCAACTCAAACATCTCAGAAGGAACTAAAATTTTCATAAATTGCAAAATCAATAGTGTATATGCATGTAGTGTTCCAAGTCCCATCCAGGAAGTACAGCCCTACAGGCTAATGGCAGCATACCAGGAATTCTAAAATGCAAAGCTACTGTTCATCAGAGGGACTGAGCTATTATAACCTTTGTGTAACAGCTGACAAGGCTGAAGAGATCTATGCTCTCAGAGGGAGCCATTCATTGTCTGGGCTAAGCATAAACGTGGCTCTTAAGCTCATTTTCCTTTTCTTTTATTCCTTCCAAAGAATGCAGCCTCTAGCTACAAAACTGGATGAATCCTGACTGCGCCATAGACGCATGTCTGATTATGGATTTTATAGCTCCATGGGAAGGGGAGGCAAAAAGTGGAATAGCTTCAAGAAGCCAAATGTTAAGCCGGTATTCAGTTCAATTAAATAAACAGTAAATAACTACTACATGCAGTACACTCTGTTTGCCTCTCAGAATACAATAAAGATGAATAAAATATGGTCTCTTCCTTCTGAGCTAACAGGAAATAAGTAGGATACTAAATAGAATGTGATAAATCAAAACGGGATCAAAGCTACATGTTACAGGATAACTGAGGAGGAAGGGATCATTTTCAGCTTGGGGTGCAGCATGGAAAAAGGAGGAGGAAGTAAGGGAAGCTTCACTGAGGAGGTAGCACTAGAACTGGGCCTTAATAATGCTAAGGCTTCAGGATTTCAACGTGTGATCTGTTGGTGGTGGTGGTTTATGAAGAGGCTGGAGAGGAAAGCTAAGGAAAGCAAGTCATCTGTTCCAGGCCTGGGGTACAGTAAGATGAACAAAGGAATACGAATCAGAGGGCAATGGAATGAGATCAAGGTATGGCAAGTCGTCCAGTTGAGCGTGTGTGAAGGGGAACTGAGAAGACTAGAAAGGTAACGTGCAGCAGAATCATCAGAGGACTTCAGTGATACTCCATCTCACATACATACAGGGAAGCCGGACCAAACACTTCTATTGGTGGGAAAAGGTCTGGTAGCATATATAAGCTACATTCTGCAAAGTGAATACTCAAAGGTTTAAGAGAATCAAGCCTTTAAACCTCTCACAGATTTCATTCCAAATGAACAGAGAGACTCTGTGACAGTCTCTATGGAGCAGCCAGCACCTGTTAGCAGATTAATACTAGTCTGGTTCTCAACCATTTAATAACAGCTGGCATTTATATAGTGCCTACTATGTGCCAGGCACTGAGCTAAGCACTTTACAATTATTATCTCATCCTGGCCTCACAACAACCCTGGGAGGTAGGTGCTATTATGACCTCCATTTTACAATTGAGAAAAATGAGGCAAATAGGTGAAGTGACTTGCCCAAGGTCACACAAGCCAGTCAGTGCCGGAGGTCATATCTGAACTCTTTCTTCCTGTCTCCAAACCCAGCACTGGATTATCTATTGCACTACCAGCTGCCTAGTTTTGCCTTGGTCCAAAAAAGGACCTGAGCTACTTTTGTGCAAGCTTTGGAAAGTAAACTAAATACCAGAAACTGAAAAGCAACTGGATGTGGCCCTGTGAAGAAACAATGTAACGTTTCATTCACAACAGAGAATGCTGGGCTGCTTCCTGCGTCCAAGCTGCTTTTTAACTCCACCGTTTTGTAGTATCTCATCCTCTCCCTTCTCTCCTCTGACACTATCACTTGGTGCTGGCCTTTGTCACCTCACACCTGGACTACTGCACTAGCCTGCTGGCTGGCCTGGCTGCCTCAAGCATCTCCCCATTCTAGTCCAGCTCTCCCTCAACCACCAAAATGATCTTCCTAAATAAAATGCAGGTCCGACCATGTCACCCCCTATTCACAAAAGTCCAATGGCTCCCTATCACCTACAGAATCAAATAAAATCCCCTGGCTTTTAAAGCCTACTTAACCTGGCCCCTTCTTACCTTACACCTTATCCTCCACACCCACCCACCACCACCTCCTCCTCCTAATCTACAATCCAGTGACGACAGCAGCCTCCTTGCTATTCCTGGAACAAGACGCTCCACCTCCACACTCTGGGGGTTTTCACTGGCTGTCTCCATGCTGGGAAAGCTCTTCCTCCTCATCTACCTCCTTCAAAGGGATGCTGTGAGGATCAAATGAGATGGTATTTGTAAAACACTTAGCAAAGTGCCTGGCCCATACTTAACCACTGCATATTCCTTCCCCACCATTTCTATTCCTCATCTCAGCCTCCTGCTTCTTTCACATCTTAGCTAAAATCCCACCTTCTGCAAGAGGCCTTTCCAGGTCTCCATTAATTTGAGTATCTTCTCTCTGAGATCACCCCCAAGTCGTTTGCATGCTGTCTCCCCAATCAGACAGGGAGCTCCTCGAGGGCAGGCACTGTTTTTTGCCTTGCCTTTCTTCATCTCTCTAGCTAAAGTTAGCACAGTGCCAGGCACATGGTAGGTGCTTAACAAATGCTTTGAACTAATACAGTCCTGGGTTCTAACCCTAGCTCTTTCACTAACTCATCATATGACCTTTGGCAAGTCATAAAAACTCCCAGCTTACATTTTCTCATCTATAAAATGAGGGAGATATGTTTATCATCAACTAAATAAAACTCACTTTTACTGAGATATTATGCAAAGTACATATGAAAATTTGAGAAATCTGCAGAAGTATTGCACACCATTTATCACTATTTAGCAAGAATTTACAGTGATCCAAGCCTGGCTTTACAGGTGCCCTGAAGCAACAAATCACTGCCAACAACTCAAATAGTATATACAGCTGCAGCCTGGATAATGTGAACAGAGTACAAAGGGTATAAAGCTCCCCAGCAACTAGAAGCACCAGGAATGTGTAAAATTTCTTTCCAAAATCAGTCTAAAAGTTAAAACTCTACTACAGCCAGTTGATTCTCTACCCTAAGGAAACCACATGACCTGAAAGAGTCCTAAGTAAAGTCACCTTCATCTAAAAACAGACACTACCTGCTCCAGGGGAAGAGAGAACCCAGAGAGCTTGGACTGTAACCAAAGTTTAACTGAGATAGCCTACAACAGGTGGTGGGAACAAGCCAACCTCTACATCCTCTGCTACTTTGTAGCACACACTCTGCAGCTTTCAGATACAATACTTTGGCTCCTTCCTAGATAACCTGCTAAATTATCTATACTAATGGAGACAGATGTGAGGATAAAAGAAGCTTTAAAAATAACATATTTAACAACCCCATTCTGGCCCTCTCCCCATAAGCTCCCACAGCAGAAAGGAATGTGAGACACCAAACCATGTGGAAGAATCTGGCTGCCAAAGCCAAGAGAACAGCCAGCAAGGGGGTCTAACTGGTCAAAATGACATCTGAGATTCCCTCTAGATTTTTATTCTAGAAGTTCTTTGTAGATAATGGGGATAATTCACATAAAGAAAACGAGGAGTTGACTACATTCCAAGATTAGGGCAAGAAAAACAAAAAAATGCCAAGATTGATAATCTGGGTCAAGAAATTTTCTTCTTTGGTATCTCAGCTATTGCAAGAAAAATCAAACTGATTCAAGTTATCTGACCACAGCAAGGGAGCACCCTAAAGCAGCTCTCCTTCCCCACCCCCCACAAAAAAATTAAGTGGACTAAATTTCAATTTTCCCTGAGGTGAGGAAGGGAATAGAAAGCAGATGAACCAATTCACAGGGAGCAAAATATCCTAATGGAATAATAATTTTTTTGCTCTTTCCTGAATGTGCAACCAAACTGTCTGACTACGGCACAAAACATGAGTCATTCAAAGAGACTAAAGAAATAGGAAATATTTACAGTAGCTTTTGGTAGTGGCAAAAAGCTGGAAATTCAGAGGTGGCCATCAACTGGGGAATGGCTGAACAAATTATAGTGTGTTCATGTAATAGCATACTGCTATGCTGTGAGAAATGAAGAGACAGTTTTGGAAAAACTGGCGAAGAAGACTTATCTGAAATGATGTAGAGTGAAGCAAGAAGAACCAGGAGAACTAATACTATATTATATAACATCATTATCATACCTAAGAAAACCTTGAAAGATTTAAGAACTCTATTCAAGACAATGATTAACCATGACTGCAGAGAACCGATCATGAAGAATGTTACCCACCTCCTGACAGAGAGATGATAGACTGATATGCAGAATGAGACACATTTTTGAACATGGACAATATAAAAATTTGTTTTGCTTGACTATGCTCATGTTACAAGGTTATAAAACTTTTTTTTCCTTGAAGAGATGGGGGAGATAAATGCTTGATAACTGAAAAAATAAAATTTAATTGAAAACAAACCCATGTGGCAAAAATAACACAACCTAAAGAAAAGTTAAAAGTGAATTAATTCAGTACACGAGCAAAAGTTCTATCATGCGAAAGATTTTCTTTGTTCCCAGGGCTACAATACAAAAGAGAATAAAGGTTCAACCTTTTTGTTGATCTCATCTTGGTTCACAAGTGTCCAGTGCAGGGAGCACTGAAATAGTTTTTTAATTACGATAAGGAGAAAAGGAGTTGAGCGAAAAAATAATTAGAAACACAGTAATAATTAGAATATTAAATTTAAAAGAGTTAGAAACACAGAAATTACAGCATAGTGTTGCGGTAAGCACATTTAAGCGGAAGGCAGAAATTTTCCAGTCCCAACATTTACTAGCTATATGACCTTGAACAAATCACTCTCCATCTTCAGATTCAGTTTTCTTCACCCGTAAAATAGGGACAGTAATACTGACAATTCACAGTTGTAGAAAAAGGGCTTCATGAAAAACCCTCAAGGGCTATACAGCTATAATCCAAATCTATCTCTTCCATGTGGGCACACAACACATGTATGTTATTATTAGCCATCATTCATGATAAAATAAATTATGTCCTTCAACTTCAGAGGGGAAAAATATCTTACAACGAAGCCTATCTCACCTTTTTCAAAACTCTTCCCCTAGTGAATGGCAGCCAAGCTGAATTTCTAACCAGAATTTAGAATAATAAGCCCACAAGTCCATTGTAGCTAAAATTTTTGTTTCCATATTCCTTAATCTAGAACCAAACATAGGAAGGGAAAGATATTTATTTTCTTCCTTTACACGAATATTTACCACCACATGTAACATGTCGGACAGAGAGCTCTGGCCTAAACAGCACAAATGGACCCCAGACTTGAGTTGCTAAGCGGGATGTGAGTCGGAGATCCTTCCCTAAGAGTTTTCCCAACTTTACCTAAACCCCAAATGCCCCCACCCAGGGGAGGCCCCAAGCCCTCCCCCATTCCTCTAGACAGAGGAACACTCTTCTCCATTTCCATCCTCACACCCCACCAGCCAGGCCCCAGGCAAAATCCTCCCCCTCAGCCCCCCCACGAGGCTCCTTCCCCTCAGGTTCCTAACCTTTCCCGCCTCAGATGCCTCCTCCACACACTGCGCCCCTAATCTGCAGCCCCCTCCTCATCCCCCAGGTCCCTAGCTCTTCCCGGCCATGGCCTCAACTCGCCCCACCTACCCAGGTACCCCGCCTCGGGGCCTAGTCTTCCCCATCTGTCCCCAATTCGGTGGGCCCTTCACTCCCAAGCTGTCCTAGTCTGCGCTCCTTCCCTCCCTCCAAGACTCCCCTGGAGCCTCAGGCCCCCAGCCCACGACCCCCCCATCTCTTGGGCCTCAGGTCTCCAGCCTGCACCCCTCGCCCCAGCGTCCCTTGAACCTCAGGCTCCCCAGTGTGCACCCCTCCCCCGCCAGGAGCATCCAAGCTTCAGCTGGACCCACGTCCCTCCCTCCAGGACCCCTGGAGCCTCAGGCCCCCAGCCTGCACCTCTCCCCCCCGGACCCTCTGGAGCCTCAGACCCGCCAGCCCGCGATCCTCCCCCCCAATCCTCGGAACCTCAGTCCTCCAGCCTGCACTCCTCCCGCGGGGCCTCCAGAGCCTCAGTTCCTCAGGCCGCATCCCTCACCCCGAGCCCTAGCTGCCCCCACCCTGGGCCCACCTTGGGTCCCCGCAACCCCCAACGGTCCCCGAGCCCGGGCCGCGGGGGCCTCCCGCGACCCAGACCCCACTCACCGGTTCCGGAGGCGGGCCGAGCGCAGAGCAGCACGGCCGCCAGCAGCCACAGCAGCGAGGGCCCCATGTCGCGGCGTCGGTGTCCCGAGCTCTTCGAGCAGCCGGCCCACGCCTTCGTTCGCTAACTCGCTCGGTCACTCGACCTCGCTAGGGCTCGGGCCGCCGCTATAAGAGCCCGCGGCAGAGAGGCGCGGGGGCGCACGCGCGGAACGTGGTGACGGAAGGAAATGAGGGGGCGCCGCCCGGGAACGCGGACGCAGTCGGGCTCGCGTCCGTAGCCCCTCCCCCCGCACGAGGGCCTCCGCACGCGCCGGGCCTCTGACAACCAATCACTTTCCAGCCCAGGCCCAGGACTCCAGAGACCGGGCGGGGCCGGTGGGAAGGGGCGAGAGGGAAGCTTGTCACGTGGCAGAGTCCCCGCCCACGAGCGGGGCCGGGAGGCGTACACCTTGTAGGTCAGATGATGTGCGCTTGTGCACGCTTCCGGCGTCCTACAAAATAAACTGAAGTGACATTCAGTTATTTCACCTTCGTTTTCTTTGTAAAGCCCCTCAGATCTCACCTCTGAATCGGAGATCTAGAGAAGAATTTAAAGGTCATCTGGTTCAAAGCCCTCATTTTGCAGATGAGGAAACTGAGGCGTGGGGAGGGTGAATAAGTAGCCCAAGGTCACATAGCTAGTGAGTGGCAAGGTTAGGCTTCGAACCCAGGACCCCTGTCTCCAAATCCTGCCCTTTCTATCCACAGCGCTCACCCGTGACTTAGTCTTTGCATTCCCGTAGCTTGGCACCCTATCTTTCCACTTGTTGCTCAGTCGTGGGGACTCTTCGTGACACCGTGGACCATAAGCCAGGCCAACACTAGCCACGGGGTTTTCTTGGCAAAGCTACTGCCGTGGTTTGCCATTTCCTTCTCCAGTAGATCGCCTTTTGTCGGAACTCTCCACTATGACCTCTACTTCTTGGGTAACCCCGCATGCCATGGCTCACGGGTTCATTGTGGTAGCAAGCCCCTTATCGATTGGGGAGGATCCATAGGAAGTGCTTAATGACTGTTGTATTGGATTGAATTGACATTCGTTCCTTCATCCTGGATGGACATCTTTCAGCCCGGCATCAGCAGGGCAAGTCAGGGTTACCTCTGGACTCTGCAGGTGCAGCTATAGCCTAGAGTAAATCTCTTACTGGAAGAAGGAAAGCTGATGGATTTTCTTCTTCTCCAGAGAAAAATCTGCAAGATGATCATTTTGTCCTGTTTACAGGTATTGTTAGTCACACCAGCAACCCTACTGCTTTTTACAAACTCAATCATGAGTATAACAAGTGCTTGGAAACTGACTAGAATTAACAAAAAGATGAAGAAAGTGAGACCCAGAGAGGTTGTATCTTGCTCATGGTTTCACTGATAATAAATTCTCTCTTTTGCTTGTTCACTTCTTCCTGAGTCCTTTCTTTCTGTCTCCCTCTGATTCACCTGTTCTTGAACCTCTTAATAGTTAGACATTTCACCTCTGTGCTGAAATCTGTTTCGTTTTTTTGAGGCAGTCAGGGTTAGATGACTTGCCCAGGGTCACAAGGCTAGTAAGTGGCTGAGGCTGCATTTGAATGTTCTCTGCTTTAGAATCCCTCATCCTCTAATTCTGTTCCTACGCTTCCCTCGCCAAACCTCAGCCCAGAATTATTCTCATTTCTTCCTCCTCTTTCTCCTCTTCTTTCTTCTTCTTCTCCTTCCTTCTCTTTCCCTTCCTCCTCCAAAGCTGCTAAATGAATTGCAAGAGGTCTCATAACTGTGCTGACAGGGTACATTATTAATTCATGTCCTCCAGCTTCATCAGGGCCTTCTCTGAAGCAAGACAATTCTTTTATTCCTCCCTAACTGATTCCCTCTCTCGTTAACCACAGAAACTATCGCAGACCATTTCTTCCCTCCTCAAGCCTTCCATAACTCCTTCTGCCCTCCAACCTCTTAACTGAGGCCCTGGCCTCTTAATTTACTGAAAAAAATAAGGCCATCTAATATGAGTTCTCTCTTCTCTCGTTCTCTTCATCTCAAAACCTGTTGACATCATCTCTTATGTTTCCAAAACTAAATCAAATAACTTAAATAAAAAACTAAATAATAAAATGATAGTTACTTAATGAAATAGACAAAGAGGTAGCCTTTCTCCTTGGCAAGGTCAGTCCCTCTAAATATGCACTTGATCCTGTCCTCCTGTCTTCTCCAGCAGGTTGCATTCTCAATCATCCTCCCCTCCTCTCAAATTTTCAACTTCTTCCTATTCATCTCTTCCTTACTGTCTTCAAATATGTTCAAGTCTCCACCATACTTAAAAAATTCTCACTAGACCCTACCAGATGCTGAAGCTACCATCCTACATCTCTTCTCACTTTTTCAGCCAAACTCTAGAAAGAGGTGTCTACACTACCTCCTTCTCTTTCACTGCTCAACCCTTGGGAGTTTGGCTTCATGTCTCATCACTTAACTGAGACTGTCCTCTCCAACTTTACTAATGATTTCATATTTGCCAAATCTGATGATCTTTTCTCAGCTATCATCTTCCTTACTCATTTGACACTCCTCTTGATATCTCTCACCTAAGTTTTCTTTACATGACTTCTTCCTGGTTCTCCTCCTACCTGTACGGCCAATCTTCTCCATCTTCTATTGCTGAATCTTCATCTAGGTCAAGCATCTCAATGTTGAGGGCTCCCCAGAGTTCTATCATAGGCTCTTCTCTCTTCTCTTTGTAATTTTTCTTTTGGTAACTCATCATCTCCCGTGGGTTTAACTATCATCTCTACAGAGATGACTCACATCCCATCCTGGAACGAGGCTTTCCCTTTGGCATCTTCAGTTGCAGACTGGATGTTCAGAAGCTATCTCTGACCCAACGTGTCCAAAACTGAACTCATTATCTTTCCCTGAAACCCTCCCCTCTCCCAAACCTTCCTATTTCTGTCAAAAGCACAATCATCCTTCTAGTCTCCCAGGTTGGTGACCTCTGCATCATCCTGGACTCACTCTCCCTCACTACACATATTCAGTCACTTTCTATCCAACTCTTTCTGCAAAACTACCTCCTTACATCATTCACTCATCCCCTTTAACCTAGATAATTGTGTATTACAGCCTCTAAATTGGTCTCCCTGACTCAGGTTTTTCTCCACTCCAGTCCACCCTCCAAACTGCTGCTAAAGGAATTTTCCATCTGGGCAGATCTGACCTTGTGACTCCCCTACTCAATAAGCTCTAGTGGCTTTTTATTGCCCCTAGGATAAAATATAAACTTCCCTGTTTAGTCTTTAAAGCCCTTCATAACCTGGCCCCAACATCTCTTTCCAGCCTTAACTTTTGACTGCCTCAATTTCCTCAACTGTAAAATGAGGATAATTTTATTAGCATCTACCTCCTAAGGTTGTGGTGAGGAGATAATTGTAAAGTGCTTAGTATGTGCCTGGCGTATAGTAGGCACTATATAAATGCTAATTCCCTTCCTCCTTCCTTCCTAGATCCTTATGGATCACAGATAAAACACATACTTTCTCCCTAATTCCATGGGGAAGAGTACACAGAGTCAGACCTCTCTTATAGATCCACATAAATCACACACACACACACAGACACACACACACACACACACACACACACACACACACACACCCCAAAGCAAAACAAAACAAAAAACCCCAACATTTTATTCCTGATTCTCTAGGAAGAGGTACTTCATATCAAACCATTTTCTCAACTGAACTGGCTTTTTAAATTGCTCCCTCGTCCCCAAAAAACCTCCAAACTGTCAGAATTCCATTTAGTTTCTTATGCTCTTAAAAAGGCAGTAACAGTTTCTATAGGCTCTGTAAGAGGTGGATTCAAAACAAGGGTTACATTCAGAGTTAATTGTGCTCTGACTGACTAGTATACAGGTGGGAGCTCAATCGAATCAATCAGAAATATGAACCAGGCCTAGATATTTCCATTCAGTCAATCAATTCATCAGTGCAGTTCAGCTAGATGTGACATGAAATGTGTTGTGATCTGCTGAAGAAACTTGGTCAAGCTCTTTGGGTTTTCTATAAAACAGGATTCAAGTGCCTGACAGATTAGAGGACAGAGTAGTTCCAGTCTTGCCCCAGAGAAAGAATTGCTTGGAGAAACTAGTGGGGGTGGGGAAGAGAAGTAATCTTTGTCTTCTCTCCTCCCCCTCTTCCTCCACCAAGGAAGGAGTTTAGGAACTTCAGGATTTGGAATTTAGATACCCCTAGAGCCCTGAGGAGAAATAGGGAGCCTTGTTCTGGGGGGAATTGGGATAAGGACCCTCAGAGCTTACGCAGGAAATGGAAAGACAGCAAAGAGAAGGAAGGGGAATGTATTGACATCATTAGGTGAGTGGGAGGGAACTGTCTGCTGGGACTTTGGAGTTAACAGAAGGCTCCCTTTTGGAATGCCTTAGAAGGAGTAATTGGCAGAGATTATCACTCCCTTTTATTTCATTTTTATTGGTTCAAATTTGTGGTTTCTTTAATGTAGAGAACTCCATGGTGGGGAAATTCCTTTTATCTCTAAATTATCTAAAGAGCTAAAGAATTGCCTACGAGCACTGAGAAGCTAAGACTTGCCCAGCGTCACACAGCTAGCATCTGCCAGAGACAGAACTTGAACCCAGATCTTCCTGACTTAGACCTTTGTTTTCCATCCACTCTGCTAATGTGCCTTTCAACCCCCATTTTGAAGATGAGGAAACTAAAGCTCAGAGAAGGGGAATGACTTGCACAGCATCAAAGATAGTGAGTGGCAGAGCCAGGACTCAAACCTCCTGTTATTTGGCTTTAGGTCTAGGACTTGGGTTCAAATCCTGGTTCTGCGTGTTGAACTTGAGAGCTTCCATGTTGAATAGTTGAACTTATTGGTCTCTGAGTTGAACTTGTTGGCTTCCAAGTTAAATTTGATGACCTCCAAGTTGAACCTGATGACCTCTAAGTTGAATGTGGTGGCCTCCAAGTTGAACTTGATGACCTCTAAGTTGAATGTGGTGGCCTCCAAGTTGAACTTGATGACCTCCAAGTTAAATTTGATAACCTCCAAGTTGAATTGGATGATCTGCAAATTTAACTTGATGACCTTCAAGTTAAACCTGATGGCCTCTCATCAAACTCTGAGGTTCTGTCCCAGGAACATAAATCTAGAGCTGAAAAGGACATTAGAAGTCATCTAATTAGAAGCCCCACCCACCCCCA